TGCAGCAATATGGCTTTGATGGATTTTTCAACATGCAATCCTCACCGGTGAATCCCTTAATTTTTGCCTATTCTCCCAATAATAGGCCTACTATCCCTCCCTCTTCACCGCAAGCTTCCCAATGGGATTTCTTTTGGAACCCCATTTCGTCTTTGGACAGCTATGGCTATCCTGCAAAAAGTATTGATCATGCTGCAATGGATGGTGAATACAAAAGACTCAGGCAGGTTAGAGAAGAAGAAGGAATACCAGACCTGGAAGAAGATGAAATTGAACATGAAGATGGTGTTGGAAAAAGAAATGTAGTAGAAGAAGCAAGGAAAGAGATGGAGGAAGGGGGAAGGAGAGAAGCAGTCAAAGATTGACTCAATGTCAGAAAAGAAAAAATGACCTGACACACCACCGTTAGCCACCTCACCTTATTTTTAAGGCTGTTAGTTTTGGAGGACCAAAAATTAATGTTTCCTTTAGGAGGAGGACTAAAATGTACCTTACTTTGAAAGATGGACTAAAAACAAATTCGCTTGATAGTTTAGGGACTAAAAACATATTTAACCCTAAAATTTATATGCGACTTTTATTAATTGATTTGTATCAAAGGCGTATGGCCTTTCAGTAAACTACCTTATTTTAGGAGTTCTCTTCACTCTCAAATACTTTCACCTATGTGAAGATCATCTCTTTCTCACATCACTCAATTCCTTTCCCTTAAACATATACAAATAAGTTTAAACAAGCAACTAAGTCACTGTCTCCTACTCTCTCACAATCAGAATATCTCTAAAAGAGAACACGCCCTAAGAGAAATTTAAATACATCTTTCTCTATCTACTCTTTGAGTGACATTTTATGAATAAAATCATGATAAGAGTTTTAGGTTCCAAAGTGGTAATACCTTGGATGTGGTGATTGACTTTAACAATGTTATCTAAGCAAACCCCTTTAGTTGTTATCTAACAATGTTATTTAACAATGTGGATAAGGTTAAACCCCTTTAGTTGTCCCTATTTATGTAGGTTTTTCCCAATTCGATCCCCATTTTTTTAAAAACCCCAATTGAGTACTAAATAGTGCTAATTTGAATCAATTGGACCCTTGCCGTTAAACTAGGTTAACAGGGTTAAGTTTTGATGACCTGGCACCTTGACGTGGTAAGTTTGTAGTACGTGGTCTTCATAGAGGTTTATACGTGGAATTTCATAACATTAAACATTTTAAAATTAGGGTTTGGTGGTCAAATTTATGAGTTTTGTTGTGCGTAGGTTTCTTGGAGGTGGTTCTTAAGGAAGATGATTCGAACAATGGCAAATTGTTATGGCTGCTAACGACGACGATTTACGAAGAAGTCACTATTGGAGGTTTGTTGCGTTTTGCGATTCTTGTGAGAGAACAAAATTTGCTCGCGATTTGACCTCGCCTCTCTGGTCTGTGGTTAGGGTTCAAAAATGGTAGAGGACGAGACGTTGATAGCGGCCTGAAGGAGATTCACCGGGGTGAAGAAGGTGTTGGTCACAATGGCCACGGCACCGCGATGAGACGCCCCGAGAAACGCAAAGACGAACTTGGGGCAGTAGGCATGAAGGGGAAGGTGTTTGGGGACGTATATATCAGGAAGCTTGGACCTGAAAATAAAGTCCTTCCCCTTCTGTTTCAATGGCCATTCTTGAATTACACCAACCTAGAAAAAACAAGACACAAAATTTGTGTTTGGCTAAGATAAGAGGAACTCAGAGTTTGATTGGTTCTATGTGATCTTAGCTGTTTGTCCACTATTTTTTTGGAGGGGAATTTTTGTGAAGAGTTGTGACGTTTGACAATGTCCTCTACTGATAATAATCACAGGCCTTCTCCACAAATTTCTTCCTTCGGCCGCTTTATATATCGTCTCAGGCATGAACAAGTTCATTCTTTGGAAGATAATCACAGATCCAGTACTAGGGATTCAGAGCTTGAATCATTCCAAAAACAGGTTACTGATCATTTTGAGGACCTGTTCAGGGCTAGTGATGATGAATTGCTCTCAATTGATTGGATACAGAAGCTCCTGAGTGCTTTTATCTGCTGCCACGAGAAATTCACAGCTATTATGTTGAACAATAAAGAGCAACTCTCGAATTTCCCTCTGGACCGATCAATCTCTGAATACCTTGAGAGACTGGTAAAGGATGAGTTTTTACGGTGGTGATAGTTTACGTATTTCTTCTCCTTCACCTATCTCATTATAGAAGATAGCTTTATTAAAAAAAAGAATTATTCTAAACCAAACGAACCATTATTTATTTCATAGGTGTCGGAGGACAGGGAAATGTTTACAGGGCTGACTTCCCTTCAGGTGAGGTCTATGCGGTGAGAGATGCCCTGTTCTTGTTTAGATTTTAGAAACCCTATTTTTAATTTTTTATTTTATGAAATGCCGCGTATAAAGGTTTCAGAATGCCAGGTTTAAAAAAATTTACACATCAACTTCCAACCTCAGCAAAAAAATTTTATCATGTTAAGCCAATTTAACGGCAAGGGTCCAATTGATTCAAATTAACATTATTTAGGACTCGATTGGGAATTTTAGAAAAATGGGGATCGAACTGGAAAAAACCTACATAAATAGGGAACTAACTAAATGGTTTTAACCTTTAAACAAGAAACTAAGTCACTGTCTCCTACTCTCTCACAATCAGAATATCTCTAAAAGAGAACACACCCTAAGAGAAATTTAAGTACATCTTTCTCTATCAACTCTTTAAGTGACATTTTATGAATAAAATCATGACAAGAGTTTCAGGTTCAAAAGCGGTAATACCTTGGATGTGGTGATTGACTTTAACAATGTTATCTAAGCAAACTTGGGGTGAGAACATTGATGTCATTTATAGGGACAAAAATCAGGTTTCAAAGATAAATCCTTATTTTCGTTAGCATTCATTCCTCTTATACCTTGATTAAAGAATTTTCTCCATTACACTTAATAGTTTCATATCGCTTAGGACTCAAGGTCAAAGTCAATTTAAATACATTTTATCCTTTAACCCTCTAAGATATCTTTTAAGAAAAAAAATCATGATAGGAGTTTCAGGTTTCAAAGCCAACAATATTTCAGATGGAGTGATTAACTCTAACAATGTTATCTCAATAGACTTGGGATATATACGCGTAAACGTGTGTGTTCTTAGTCATTTACTATTGAAAACTTTTACCTACACTATTTAGTTTTGTGTAAATACAATATAGATGGTTTTAACATATTGACACAGTGAAAGAAATACAAAAATAAAATAAAATAGAAATAGACTTTTATTAAAGAAGGGATAAAAAATACAAAATGCTATTTGCAACACACAACTCAACTCCAGGTGCAAAAATATAAAAGTAGAGAAAAATGACAAAAACTAAACTAACCAAACTAAATCTAACATAACCAGAAGCAAACTAAACACAACTAACAACCAATATAAAACGTTGATAGATGGACCCACAATCACAGAACATAGGTAAGCTATAATATTTAGAAGATTAAATTCATTTTTAAATCACACATTTTAAATATTCACTTGAATCTCAAATAATTTTATCATCTCATCAATTACACATAAGTATCTTTATTGACATTGTTCTACTAGTTTTAGAAGACTTATATGTTGAATTTAACTCATATTCTACACCTATCATGTAAACTTTTGATACATTTTAGAAAAATCACTTAAAATTTATTTTTCCCAATATCTCAAAACCCAAATTATCTTCATATAACAAAGTTAATTTCGTATAATTTTCAAAAAACCGATTCTTTTTCATATCAATTTTTATTTTAAGAATCTTTATCGATTTACACTGTATAAATATATATTTTTTTATGTGAGTTGGAATATTTAGTAAAATCCAAATATCCTAAAAATATTCTTATTTATATAGCTCTCAAACTTACTTATGCACTAGTTTAAGAGAAAAATGTTTTAGTACTGTTCATCTTATAAATAAATATATGAAAGGTCTATTTTTAAAGCTATTGTATAGGTTCAATCTTTTTTTTTCTTGTCTATAACCAGAATTCACAATGAATAATATTTGAAGTTAAAAGCGCCAGGGGAAGATTAGGAAAAACTAAAGAACTCTTACTGAATTAGCATGTGTGATTAAGTTATGCTATTAAAATAAATTAAGAAACCTAGCTCAAAAGATACTGCCACCCGTATAAAAAATGAAGATCGATCATAATGCTATACTGCATATAAAAGCAACGTTGGGCCCAAAACAGAAGATAATATTATTTTATGGTGGCGAAAAGAAAACAAATATATCCATGAAATATTCTGAAAAAAAAGGTTTCCATAAAGAGACAAGATAAAACACAGGATAACAGCAGATAAAACGGACCACCAATTGCCACGTATTAAACACCACACAAAAACTTCTTTTTTCTCATAAACGTTATGTGCTCTAACATAGCAAAAAAAAAGGAATCCCACTCTCCACTCTACACTTTTCAATAAATAAACTATATTCAATTTGTATCTTCTCAATCACTGTAATATAATCATACACTTAAAGTAAAGTATTCCTGAGCAACACAATGTTAATGCTGTATTTTACTAAATTATGCATATTGATAATGAATGAATGAATTTTAAAATAGTTAGCTTAACATGAAACCAAAGATTATTTATAATTAGCTCATATAATCCTTATTAAAGTGGTAAAAACATTAAAAAATAGCCAATTGCATATTAAGAATGGGTCCGCCAGCTAGCTTCACTTAAACTAATATATCTCTTCACTTGTTTTGGGGAAAAAGAAAAGCTAATCTGATCTGTGTCCTTAATCTGATTAATGTGATTAAGAAAAGATAATAATAAAATTATATATATATATATATATATATATATATATATGTACTAAAAAGAATATTTCTCATAATGTTATCATCACAATCAATGATCTAAGCTACAATTTTGAATTATATGCGTATCAAGTACATCACATGATAACTCACATTAAACCTTATTTTAAACATCTCTGTCCCCTCACCACACCTCTTCTACTCTTTCCTTTCTCTCTCTTATATTAATCACTTCCTCCCTCACACATTCGCTGCAACAACGCCACAGTTCACTTTTCCCTCTCACCGGAAAATGCCTCTCTCCTCCGCCTCCGCCGCAGCCCCTCACTCTGCCTCCTCCGCCGAGATCATGCTCTTCGGAGTCAGAGTCGTCGTGGACTCCATGAGGAAGAGCGTCAGCATGAACAACCTCTCCCAGTACGATCACCATCGCGATACCGCCGCCGCCAAAGATGACGCCGTTGCCGCCGGCTACGCCTCCGCCGATGATGCCGCTCCGAACAACTCCGGGAAAAACCGCGACCGCAAGCGAGGTCCGACCAACACCTTCTCGAACTCTCTGACACGCTTTATAATTTATATAAATAAATCAATCAATAAATAAATACTTTATCAACTAGAATTCGTTGTTCACTCCGCCAAAAAAATTAGACGATTTTTCAGACTATACTTAAATGCATGCCTGAGAACTAAGTTGATATGGAATATTAATTTTGATCGGTGAGAGAATCGTATCATATGAGGTATGTTAGTTAATCTAAGTGTTGTATTTTTTTTCCCATTATTTTTAATGTTAGGTTTGTTGTATTATAGAATAGAATATAAATGTTTAAATTCATAATTAAATGTCGATTTTAATTACTGAGATTTAAGTAGTTATTAATGATAGGAGATATTAATTTTAACCGGAGAGAGGATCTATGTTAGTTAATCAAAGTTTTGTATTTATTTTATTGCATGTTGATTGTGGATTTGTTGTGAGATAAGTATGAATATGAATGTGATTATTGATTTGTTGCATTAAGAGAGTGTTGTTGTGGATATTTGGGGGATGATCAGGGATTCCATGGACGGAGGAAGAGCACAAGCTGTTCTTGGTTGGGTTGCAGAAAGTGGGGAAAGGTGACTGGAGAGGAATCTCAAGGAACTATGTCAAGACACGGACTCCAACTCAAGTTGCTAGCCATGCTCAAAAGTACTTTCTCCGCCGTACCAACCTCAATCGCCGTCGCCGTAGATCCAGCCTCTTCGACATAACCACCGATTCGGTAAGTTGTGTTCAGGTAAAGTTTGATGTTAATTTTGTACATGAAATTAGGTGCTGAGTCAACGCGTTATTAATCGATCTTGGTGGTGGGATTGAAATTTTAGCGTGCTTTCTTTTGCCGTGTTAGGAAAAACAAAGTATAGAAACCAAAGGAAAGGGGGGAAGAAAAAAAGTTACCTCACTGTTTAGTTTCAGTTGATTTTTTAGATTGGTGGATTATTGTTTTCAAAAATACTTTTATTTTTTTAAATTTTGTTTATCCCTTGGGGTTACTTAGAGTGGCGTGAAACAGTTCCTTGTTTTTCCGTTTTAATATTGCCAGCAATGGGGAGGTTTAGTCTAATTTTCGCACTATTTCGGTTCAAAACTTCGAAATCCAGTGGAAAGATCGGAGCTTCCTTGCATTTGCTTGTAAAAGGGGAAATGGAATAAAAAATGTTTTATGAAACCTAAAGAAACTTGTGTCGTTTGGTTATGTATCTTATCTTTAGTTAATTGATTAATTGATACAGTCCTTTGTTGTTCAAGAGAAACTCCAACGGAACAAAATCACGTGATTTCAGGCTTTATAGCCCAAGAAGCTAACTACTTTGAACTTGGAGAACCGGAGAAAGAAACCTCTGTGTTATTTTAGTACCAATCGTTCAGTTTCCATGGTTTGATACGGGAGGAAGACTTATATATGGATAAGAAAAAAAAAGGAAAAACAGTGCGAGGAAAAAAAGAAAAAAAAATTAAATATAGAAAAGAAAGGGCAGAATAATTTTGTTGGGATGAATTAGTGAAAAGATGGAAAAATTTAAATGAAATTGTTTAGATTGAAAAAAAGGTCATAAATATTAAACCAGAGATTGTATTATTATCGTATCATTTTAGTCTTATAGATTTAAATTAAATTATTTATTATAATTTTTTTTCTCAACTCCATCCAATTCCTCTACTTGTGGTCCTTTATTAGAATATTGAGGTTTTTATTTAATTTTTTTCACACATTTTTTTTTTCTCTTTTTCTCTTAGTTTCATATTCAAATATTTGAATCTTTTATTATTTTGAATATCTTTACCTGAAATTGGTTATAACTGGACATTGCATGAAAGAAATGAAAAAGGCAGAAAAAGTAAAAATCAATGTTATTAAGTATTATATTGTTTTATTTGCTAATTTTCTAATCCTTTCTTCTCGGTTTGGAAAAGAAACAGAGTATCATGATAAAAAATGTTTTCGTTGCAAATTAACATAAACGGAAAAAAGAGAAGAAAAAAACAACAACCGTGTAATCATCACATTTTTAATTTCGTCTGTGCTAAATCAATCAGAACAAACATGGCCTTATTATCCGGTACTTATTGGCTGCTATATCTCAACATGTACTGTGAGATCAATAATTAATTACTGTTTAGGGTATGACAGCAACTTGAGTAATTTGTAATGATCTTATTCAATTTTTGGTCAGGTCTCTACAACCCCGATGGAAGGACAGATTCAGTATCAAGATAATGTGTCTCTTCTGCATCCCATGTACCCTGTTACCCCTGAAGGAAGCAACATGAACGGATTTTCCAAGTTGCCTATGTATTCGAAGGACATTGGTACTGGAGCTATGTCAGCTCAAGCTGGGAATCCAATGAAAATACTTACTTTGGGACAAGGAAATGTGGAGCAGAATGGGCCTAGTACTAAGCTAGTTTGTACAACAGCCCCTAATATTGTTCCAGATTATAAAGGCTCCACAGCGTCTGATATCACCGCCACCAGTTTAAGTTCACTTGATCCACCAACACTGTCTCTCGGGTTATCTTTGTCATCTAGTCAAAGACAAACCTCATCAATACATTCAGCTTTTCATTCACTGTCGTGTTTCAACAACGGAGATAGCTTCATAACCGTTGCTTAGAAAATAACATAGATCTGTTGCCCAATCTAGAGCAGCTTTGGATTCCGAGATTTTTATCTCAAATCTCCTTTCTCTTTTGGTGGGAGAAGGATAAAAGATGTTAAAGGAAAAAGGACGATGAATTAGAGAAGGCAATAAGGTAATAAGTCACCAAATTGATCCTTCTGTTCCTTGTACAGACCCTGGAAAGGTCCTGTCATGGTTTTGTTTATTGTTTATTGGCTCTTTTTTATGTTTGTAGTTACTATAACTGAACATAACGAACTACTTCCTGTTAATTTTTAATGAATATATATCTGGAGACTATACCCAGGAATGATTTCTAGATCTTCTCGGGAGGAATTATATAGATGAATTTTATGATTGTCACTGTACGTCATATCCTTAGCAAATTGACTCCATGACTCCATTTTTTGTTTTTCTTAGTGAATACATGACCTAGTTGACTCCTGCAATCAATGTTATATCAGAACTGCCTGCTCTACAAGTTTTGAAATTGGCAATTGCATTGTCCCTGTTAGTCCACAATAACCACAGTTTCCATCGTTCTTCATTGGTCAGGAAACGTAAAATGTTTTTTTTTTTTTATCAACAAAGGTTAATTTTAGTGTTTTGTTAGTGGGAAGATGAATCAATATCTTTTCTCATTTTTTTTCTAAACTTTTCAAACAATTTTTTAATTATTAAATGTTAATAGAAAAGTTGAACTCGTGACTACTTTCACTTTTTTCCAATTCGTTCACTTTCTTCCCATTTTTATGTCTAAGTCAATTTTATAGTTCCACGTAAAATGCTTGTTGGCTACACAACTTGTATTATTGGTCCTATAGTTGGTGTGCATTTCTAGTGATAGTGGGATATGATGATCTATTGCTGTGTCTCTTCTCACAGTTGCAAGCACCATGCGGGGTCGGGTTGTCAATTCGGACATTCGACAAAAGAAGTGTCCTACATGTTAAGCACCTATAAATAATCATTACTTTTAGTTAAGATCAAGTGCAGGTTTTGAGATGATGCTCTGAAACTTTTCCTTTTATTTTAAAGTGGTAACAATGCGTGAACACAAATATTGTGTCTAGATGCTAGATCCAATGTGATTTTTTTTTTTGTTTCTGTTAAGGTAACAATATCTTCTAAAGGAAGAAACCGAGGGCGTGTTGACCCAAAAATGTTTTGTTCATACAAGACTTCCTACTGGATGAACCTTGTCAAACTAAGTTAATGTTTAAACTCCCTGAGCAGTGTTATTATATAGTTTATTTCTTAATATGATCTTTTATTAATGTTTTATTTAAATGAAAAAATTTAAATTTATTGAATTTTAATTATTTCATTAGATTAAATATTTTAATTATCAATAAATATAAAAATTATTTAACTATTAAATAATTATAAATAATTTAAACATATAAATACTGGTAATTCTTAGTTGATTTTGGTTAATTTTATTTTCTAATAAAAAAAATTCAAGAATTTTTCCATTGTAACTTAATCTCTAATCAATTGTAATATTGTTTTTAGTTTGTATGAATCCTTTGATCATCAAAGGAAAATATTAGATAAATCATCATCTTTTGTGTATAAGTATTTCAAGTTATACATGAACTTTAGGAATCCTACATGGTTGATCCTAAATATGCATTTATTTCTATTAACAAACAATGTTTCTTTCTTAAGAGTTTTAAGTGCACTCCTTAGATACTCATCTAATCAAAATATCATCCAATTAAACTACAAAAAAAAAAACTTGCCTATAAAAGGGTGAAGTACATTATACAATAACTTTATGAATGTGTTTGGTGAATTTGTGAAACCAAACCATTCATATAATTCAAACTTTTATTTTGAAACTAGTTTACTATTCATCTTTTTCTTTAAGCCTTGTTTGGTTATATTTGTTTTTCAAATGAATATTGGAAACACATTCATGATCCATACTATTCATTATAATTGGCATATCATAAGTACTCTTGGTATATCCTACACTCATTTCTTTTCAATTTCTCCTTCCACTTGCTTTTGAATTTCTTAACTCTTCTGGGTTAATTCTACTAGGTGGCCTATTTAACAAAGTAAAATTAGGAAAAAAGTTAATTTGATGTTATATTAGAGGTGGTAACCCCTTTGAAGGATCTTGGAAAACATTCTCAAATCACACCAAATATTCTTACTAAAAAGGAATATTCTCTCACAAGGTGAAAAGAGTGACATTCCTAAGAAGTCAAGTTTTAAACATAAAGTTAATAATGAGATCCATCTATGAATGATTTTCTAACACTAAAAATAGTAAAAATCATAAAACTTTCAAATATATAAGTATTAAAATGGGTGAGAGAGAAATTGAGTTAGCGCTCCTTATAAGATCAATATGTCTTTATAAGTTTTTTTTAATCCATGCTAAAATATCCAAAAAATAATTAAGATAAATAAGAGATATTATACCTAATTATATAAAATATAATTAATTAATAAGAATTTTGCAGTTTAGTTAATTATAACCAATTATGACAAAAGAAACTTTTCTTCAAAGTAAGAAGTTATGGAATCTAGTGGATGAAGGCATTCCCATACTCATAATTGGATGAAGACAAGGAAGTAAGATTCAAAAGAGAGTTGTGGAGGAGGCCAAACTCAAGAATTCAAAGGTCAATAACTTTTTTCTTTCAAGCAATAAGGAGATTTTAGAAGAAATTTTGGACAATGAAACATCAAAGGCTATTTAGAGTTCAATGAAATAGAAATATCAAGGGTCCACGAGAGTAAAAATGGTACAACTTCAAGCTTCGCAAAACACATCCGAACATGAAAGAAGGAGAAAAGGTTTAAATTTTTGGGATGAAACATGGTTATGGTCAAGAAAATGAAATCTAATGGAGAAACAATGGAGCAAAATACAATGGTGAGAAAATATCGCGATCATTGATAACCAAGTTTAATTATGTCATTTGTGCCATACAGAAATCCAATGACCTATGTGCTCTAACTATTGATGAGTTGGGGTGTTTACTTGTCCATAAGCAAAGTATGCAAGGGTTACAGGAGGAGCATCATATGTTGAAGGCATTCATGAAGACAACACAAACACTCTAGAGGAATGACCCATCTGAGGTTGTCGTGGTGCATTCAAGGGAGAATGTGGCAGAGGAAGATAATCCTTCAATAAAGCCACCTAGTGTTTCAAATTTCATAAACTAGGACATTTCTAGTATAAAAGGAAAAATTTATTAAATTTATGATTAGTATAAAGGATTTAAATTCATTATAAAAAAACAGTTGATCCAATTTAATATGTAAACTATTTAAATTCATTATAAAAGAAACAAATAATCTAATTTATGATGTAAATTATTTAAATTCACTATAAAAGAAACAATTTATCCAAATAATTTATGATAGGTATAAAGAAAACATGACAACTTTTTTATGCACAAAACCTTTTGGTAATTCTAATTTTCATGAATGTGATTCATATTTTAACTTAATTTTAACCATTTTTTCCTTAGTATTTTATTATAGTTTCAGTATTGGTAATCAATTACAACAGTGATGAATCGATTGATTACTAGTGAAGTCGTGACTCCCTGCATAATTTTAACATTGTGTAATCAATTACAAGTGTTCCTAATCGATTTAAAGTGTTTAAAAACATGTGAGAATGCATAACTTCACCTTTTTTATTGTGACAGTGCAAATGTCGTGCCTTTGCACAACTTGTTCATTTGAAGTGGTGTGAAACTGGAAGAATTATAAAAAAATTGTCTAAATCTATAATAACGAATTAATTTTTGCCTTGAAACGTAAAAAAAAAAAAAAAAAAAAACCTTATGAAGATTCCATTGACAGTATAAAGATTCGGCGCCTTCATTGCGAGGTTAGTTCAAATTTTACTTGCTACCTTGTGACCTGATGGTTTAGAAGGTAAAGTTGTATACATCACCATAAGAGTGGAATCTTGAGATTGAGTTAATCTGTCCTTCATACGTTTCGTTTTCAAGAATTTGTTCCATTTTGATTGTTATGCCACTAGATTTTTAGATATTTCTAGTATAAATATAAATATCAAATGGGTTGTTTTCTTTTTGGGAGTTCCAACTATATTTCATACATCTATTTTTGTTTTTGATAAAGTTGAGCAGAACATTTTTTTATGGCCTATGTAGGTTCCAAGTTCTGAAATATTCTACAGTTTGAATGCTACCATTGTCAGCTTAGCAGTTGATTCTGATGGACTTAAAATTTCTTACGCGTGGTTGAACCATTTTCTTCATTAATAATTTTAGAAAGAACAAAAGCTAAGTTAAAATTAACTTATACCTAATTTAAAATGGAAAACTTAAAGAAATTACATGAAGTAACTTCTAGAAATTAAGTTGTATATAAGCTAATTTTAATTTATGGAGAAATAAATTTTATTTACCTTTTATTCCTTTTCTCTTATTGACGTTGACGAAGAAACTAGATTTTAGTTGTATCAGGTTTATTCTAATTTACTAGAGTATTTGACCAGTTACTATAACGAGTAATACTTTTAGTTCACTTGAATTTAGTGCATTATATGAATATCTACAAGTATGTCTGAAATATGAAGAGTACCAATTATTTTTACTGAATACTTGTACAGGAGTTCATGAAATTTTAATACAAGATCTAATAAATGTTTAATTAATAATTACTATTCATTTTAACGAATTTGGAGCAAAAAGGCGTTGGCATGGGAAAAAGAAGATGTATCTGTTTTTGTAATTGGGAAGAAAATTGGGAGAGGCATGATAGACCGTTATTTCAGGTAATTTTCTGCCTAACAGCCTCCATTGGTTTTAACAGCAAATGTTTCTTCTATTTACGGCTAATTGAGTTCCACCTTTCACATTCTCTTTTCTTTCCTTAGCAAACGTGCCACTAAGAGAGACACACGCTGAGAGAAAGATCTTGGTCTCATCACCAACCAAGGTCTCCTTCTTCCCACATTCTAAGTTCCTATCTTTTTCTTTCTTAATCCACACCCACTTTTATTTTTATTTTTTTGTTTGATCTTCGGCAGCATCACAGATTACACAAGTTTTGCTGTTTTGTTGCATTGATCTGCATGCTGTTGGGCAGTTAATAAGGACAGAGAAAACAAAATAAAAACAGAAAAACAAAAAGGAAAGAAAATTACCGACATGGCTACTCGATCATTTTCTACTTTTGTTGAGCAAGAAATGGGGAGGTTCACACATTTTGTGATCTATGTGTTGCTTGAATGGGTGCTGATATTCATACTCTTCCTTGATGGGTTTCTTGCATTTGCGGCCAATGAGTATGCAAGATTCTTTGAATTGCATATCCCTTGCTGGCTGTGCACCAGGTTTGATCATGTTCTGGTTCACAGAAATCATGATTTCTATTACAATGAGTCTGTTTGTGAGGCTCACAAGAAGGACATGTCGTCTTTGGCTTTTTGTCACAACCACAAGAAGCTCTCTGACATAAGGAAAATGTGTGAGGGGTGCCTTCTTTCATTTGCAACCGAGAAGGAATCGGATTGTGACACATACAAGTCCCTTGTGGGGATTTTGCACAAGGATTTGGAGTGCTTTGTTCAGGATGGCCAGCCGATTCAGTTGAGTTTGAAGGATGATGGGTTCATGCAGGTTGACAGATTCAACAATCAAAGGTGTTCTTGCTGTGGAGAGCCTTTGAAAATGAAGACTACCAATGCAAAAGTGAAGCACTCTTCATCGTTTGCGCGAGCCCCGAATCCTTCACCGCGAGCTTTTCCATTTTCATCATCAAAAAGCGAGGACTCTCATTCTCTGGAATTGCCTCACATGAGGTACAAAGAACTAAAGTTTATGTCATATCACGATTCCGAGCTTCACGAGGATGACTTCAATATAAATAGTCCGAATGTTAAATGTGAGTATATGCAAAACTAGATTTTCTTTCTTTGGAGTTTGCTTTAAATGTGACATGAAACTAGGATTTCCTGATACCATGCTTCTGTAGATTATATCAAAAAATGATGTCTTTCTGCCTGTATTTTAGTTTTTATTGTGCTACATATGCTTTATTTGGAATAAATAAAGGGCTGCACAAACACATTGCGTGAACAATATTAAGACAACTTCTTCATTGGGGCAACAAAAAACTTTACTGTTATTATTTCATTTAATCCTACTTTTGATCACTTGTGCCAATAGACACTGAACATTTACTCATGACAGAAAACGTGGTATCTTTTAATTGTGGTATAAAATAATGATTTTGTTCCATACAGTAAGGGACGACCACAAATCTGTCTCAATGCCTCCCGTATTGTCAGAACTTGATGATCTGAATGATGAGTCCAGCAAATTCACCCCGACTTTTACAAGGGGCAATAAGTTCTTTGGTATCCCACTCACCGATTCTGCAAACAACAGTCCCAGATGGACTTACAGAATTACCAGGAAATCACCACTGGAAAAGACAGAATTTGCCTCTGAGTCTAATGAGGTAACCCAAAGTGATTTTGATGATGCCATCTTAAGCAATTTGAACAGACAAGTTCGTTTGGATCGCAAATCACTCATGGCTTTGTACATGGAGCTAGATGAAGAAAGAAGTGCTTCAGCTGTTGCTGCCAACAATGCAATGGCCATGATCACTCGGCTACAGGCTGAAAAGGCAGCTGTGCAAATGGAGGCTTTGCAGTATCAGAGAATGATGGAAGAGCAGGCTGAGTATGATGAAGAAGCCCTGCAAGCAAGTAATGATATGCTTCTCAAGAGAGAGGAAGAAATGAAATCTTTACAAGCTGAATTGGAGATTTATAAGAAACAATATGGATGCTTAGCAGAAGGAAATGCTTCTAGTAGGGAAACTATCTCGTCCCATGGTAACAACTCTTCATTTAGTTTCAATGAAGGTCATGATAACGGAGAAGAAAAGGATCTCAACTCTAGTCAAGTTGTGTCATCTCAGGCAGAAAATGGAGAGATAAGACACAGTGAATCAGTCAAAGATTTTAAAGCAGAGAAAACATATCTTCTTGGCCGGATAAAGAAAGTAGAAAGTAGAACACCCTTCGAAGAAAGTGGAGTTTATTCCTTACTGTCTACCTCTGACAGTGTTAATAATTTAGACAATGAGAAAGGTAACATAGCAGGCACGCCTTCATGAATAGGTAGTATTATAATTCTATAACTATTAGAGACAACATTTCCAAAGCTACATTACCACATTAGCCCTTGAGAAATTTTGTTCCTAAAGTTACTGCCTCAAGGATTTAAACTTTCATTACATTAGTCCTTCGAAGATTTTGAATTTGTTTGGAAAAACTTATCAGTAAACACTTTTAGGATAAAATGAAAAGGTTAAAACAGTTTCTCCACAAGCTAAAGATAAATCATATAAGTTATACATAATCTCATTTTAACTTGTGAAGAAACTTATTTCATTTATTCTTTTTATTTTTCTCCTCTGGTGGAACTTATGCAGATACTATGGTGACATTATGTAGAGAAAAACTAATTTGAAAACAATTTATAGAAGACTAATATTGTAACATTAAGGTGATTAGAGGAGTAACTTTTTCAGCAATTTGAGAAAAAATTGTGGTGATACAAGTGACTCTGAAGGAGAAATCGGGAGGATTTGTCTAGCTTATGAACATTCCTCACAATGCTTGTGTTGTAACAGGAAAAGGAGGCGAAATCTTTCTACCAAAAGAACTGTCTTTTCTTGCTGAAAGAGTGAAGGCTCTAGAAGCCAACAGTGGGTTCTTAGACCTTGTTTCCAATAAAGATGAGAAAGATGGTGAAGGTACCAAAATTTTGACAGAGATATCACAGAATATAGAGAAACTCAGTCACCTTGTTATGAACTCCTTTGAGGTAGAGAGTGCATGATGCCTATTTTTCTTTTATAGTAACTGGCTCTTTAAGTGTTCATGAGGCTCAGAATGAAGATAATTGAACTTCTTGAGGCTCAGCCTGTAATAGAAAGACCAAAAAAGTCTTGCTTGTGGTAAAGATTCCGAGTTATTCTGATACTAAAGGTCCTTTGCCAAATGACAGCTCATGTGATGAAAGCATGAATGACTTTCTTATGCCTCAAGAATGTCCCTGTAAATTATTTAAATTGCTCAGAGGTCAAAGACTTCAAAACTCTGACCATGTCTTGTAATAGGTTTTTAAGATCCCCATTTCTAGGCTTCTCTAGCTTTACTAGGATCATTTGGACAAACTTGTCTAGGTTTGCTTGTTTATAAGACTATTATTGTCAACCTTTCCTTTTCTTTTTTATTACATGGAAGAAATGTAAATTTTATATTCCATTCAAACAGTAAAACATTCATTAAAACTCGCCTATACTAATCAAATTCAATTTCCCAAATGCTTTTAAGTCTTGCAGGAATTAGGATATAAAAAACCTCTTTTCCAATTATCCCCATACTACACTGTTTCATTTTGTGAAATACTATATAAGCCTATTTTTGTCAATTGAACTTGATATATTTCCAGCTTCATAAGTTGTTAAGCTTTTCTTATTACTAAACGAAGTTATTAACCCTTTTTCGCAATGAATAACCACCCATTATCAAATTATTAATATGGTTTTAAATCATAAAATAAAAGAAAAATTATTATTAGCTCAAACCATTTGCATAAGGACGCATAAAATGCAAATGAAAGAAGGAGTGGGGAAAAATAATGTAATATAAATAAATACAATTTATTTTAATGAAGAATAAAAGTGAGAAAGAAGTATGCGAACGAGGATGATGATTGCACAGTGTTGCTCTAGAGCAGCGTTTGGGCAATTGAGGATGAGCACCACCACCACTCCCACCCACGACGATCTCGACGCCGTTTTTAAACAAAAGCGCTTACTCCGAACGCAGGTCAGAAAAACCCTCAAGTCCATTCAACCCTCCCTCAGATCTCACCAAGGTATAATAAATCTCTGTCTAAGTTTCACGGATTAAAACTTCTCTCTGTATATTCAACTTTTTACTATTTTTCAGATAACGCCGTTCAGGACATTGTTCTCGAAGCTCCCTGGTTCAAATCCAGTCGCAGGCTTTGCGCCTACATAAGCTGCGCTGCGCTACGCGAAGTCGACACATTCAAAATTTTGTCACAAATTTTGCAACATAATGGTACTAATTGTTGGAAAAACGCAGTAATTCGTAATATGTGTTTTTTTCTTGAGAAGCTGTTGTTGAGCGTTTTTGAAGCGCTTCCTCCGAATATTGTTGAGTGTGTGCAGGTGGAAAAAAGCTGTATGTGCCGCGCGTGGAGGATAAAAATCGTTTCATGCGAATGCTCCACATATCTCGAATTGATGATCTAGTTGCGAACTCAATGAACATCTTAGAACCTGCTCCGGTTGATGCTGATGGAAATGCGCGTGAAGATGGTACTTCTCTTTTGCCCCTTTTTGTTTCGTGGCTTTTGAGTAAATAAAGCCAAGGTGTTTATACAATCATGTATGTAAGTTTGTTGATTTTTTTTGGCAAGAAGCTTACTGATTTTGTTCTTTTTCATTCGCCCATTCATCAATTCGAACAATTGGATGAAGATCAAACTGTGTATATTTAGCATGACACTTTAAGTGAGATTGATTGATATAAAATACGTCGCCCGATCTTCGTCCAACCATTTTGATTGGTTTTGATCTTCTTGCTGCTTCAGCATTTTTTTAATTTGCAGTTGTGGTTATGGCTTAGTTGTGATTTTAAATAGTGGAAAATTGCAATCAAATGCAGCTAATTTTGGCCGAGCATTACTTACCTTTCGGCCGAGGAAGTTTAATCTGGGATGAAACTTTTTGACGCTGGTAGACCATGTCCAAGGACAAAAAAGTTCAGCTAATTTCTCGCACAGATCCCAAAATCCTTGATGTTGCAACCTTAACTGGGGCTGCATTCAATTTTGTTAAAATCTTGCGGTTTAGCTTTCGTAGGTATAGCATACTTGCAAAAACAAGCTGCTTAACTTTAGGATTGAAGTTTCAATATTTTCAAAAATGCCACTGTTTGAGGCCGTACTCTGTAACAGCACGTGAGACTAATTTTTGGAAACTTATATAATTGTCAGGTATCTGGGTTTTCTTTGGGTCAATGTGAACAGTGGGTTGTTGACACATATTTGTATGCAGTTAGCTTATTCTAACTGGGGGTTTTCAGCTAAAAGATGTGAGCTCTTTTTATTTTTTTAATGAAAAACCAACAAAGTAAAGCTTCGCAATAGCTTAGCTTTTACAAAGCAGCTTCCACTGGATTTCATAAAAGCTATGTGCATCCTTCTTTCCTTATTTTGGCTAATTTTTTTCATTTAATTTTATTTTTCTTATTCTTTAACGGTTGACTTCCATTTAATGTGTTTTCTTATAATCCTGATTAGCATTATCAACAACCATTTGAAAGATCTCTTTGGTACAGTTATGCAGGCAAATGATCCAGTTGATTTGTTCCTTTTACCTGGTACGTTTGTCATAATCTTTATTGTCTTAGTTTGAATGTAGCTGATCGTTTTGTATTATTTTTTTTTCCCAGGACTTGCATTTGACAGAGCTGGAAGACGTTTAGGTCGTGGTGGAGGGTATGGTTTTTATATTTGTTTCTCCTTTCTAAGCTAAAGAGTTGAAACCAACCTCATTATATAAATTCTGAGTTGTTCTGAAATTTGTGAGCTGAATTAGTAATTCTGCCGTGTCTTATATCCATTGCCAAAACTGTGTTTGTTAGAATGGTTACTACTAACTCTTATGTTTCGCTTTTGACGTTTCACTTATCATATCCTGAACTGTATTATTTTTGTAACAAATGATATGAAATTGTAGTCCAAGTTTGTTATAGTTAATATCCACCTTCTACAGTTACTATGATACCTTCCTGAAGAATTACCAAGACTTGGCAAAGACGCGGAATTGGAAGCAACCCTTGCTTGGTATGCAGTTCTTCCTTGCAGGATACATAATTTAGGTTGAACCATACCCACAAACATGTGTCACATGATCTGGCAATTTGGCTTTGATTTGCAGTTGCACTGTCATATTCTGAACAAATTCTGGATGAAGGAGTAATACCAACTACTCCGTCTGATCTTCCGGTTGATGCTCTTGTATCTCCTGCAGGTGTGATTCCCATCAGTTCAGCTGCCTTAAACAGGTATCACTGACTGATCAAACTCAATTACTTTGGGAATTTGTTAATTAGTGGCCTTAGGATCTTAGTTAAGGAATTATAATATGAAGGTAAAAAGATCAATCCAGTGCTCACATGGGATCTAGGGAAGGTATATGTATAAAGCCTTACCAGGCATGCAAAGATTTGGACTTGTAATCTCCAAGTCAGAAAGACACTGATATACCAACTCCTCACCCTCTAATTTTTTATAAGAGGGTAGAATAGAAGCATTTAATATCTGTAAATCTAGAAAGTCTTCAGGATTTTTTCTTCTTTAAGCGATCACGAGGATTTGTTAATGGAGTGTTTATTAAATGTTTTTCATCCATTCCATAAGAGCATTGATTAACACCTTGTGGGCAATTTCAGAATGGATCTCTAAACAGTGACACTGGACTTCAAAGCTGATCCTGAACACTTTCAACAGTATCTCTTCAATAAATTTTTGCTGTTCCTGAAGTGGTGGAAGGCGCCTAAGGATTTGGATCTTGTATAACAGAGGATAACCATTTCATCGAGGGACACTGGAGTGCGTTAAATGATTGTTTTCAGATTATATTCTTCCCTCTCAATTCGATTTGTTATGTGGTATACTTAATGGCTACAAACGTTATCTTTTTTAAGCTCAGAAGATTTTCACTGATATCCTTAATAGTATTTACATGTGGGATATTATAGATAGTCAACAATCTAGAATTTAAGATTGTAAGGACCAAATATTTTTTATTGTGGTCTAGTTCTAACTCAATTTAATTTTTTACAAATAAAATATATTTGGGGCACATTTATTAACTAGAAACTCAATATTTCTTTGTTTTAAGATCTTTCTTTTTTTACTGAAAAACCTACCTATATTCAGAATTATATATATTGAAGATGACAAATATTTCAATTATTTTAGATTGAAAAAGACTAAATATCTTAGAGTTTAATCTAATTCTAATCAGATCAAAGCTTTTTGATTTAATTTGGTATGAGAAAATAATTCCGTAGTACATGTGTGAACTACAAACTCAATCTTTTTATTGTGAGCAAATTTTAACTTACATATCTTTGCGTATTATAAATTCTATATTAATGGAAAAAATTATTTTTCTTCTATAAAAATGTCAAAAAGGACACAAAAAAAACTTGTGAAGTCTAATTCAATTTGTTAGGAGATAAAGATATTTGTTTGGTAGACTTGTTTATCAGAACCTCTTTTTCATGCTGGGTAACATTTTACTGATATCTCTCATCGTATTAGCAATTCTAATCAGTGGAGGCAAAAAATGATTTTGTTGTTGAAAACAAAATGGAAAGGATAAAGAATTAAAAAGTCTAGAATATATTATACTGACATTATAGATATATATCGATCTAGAACTTAAGATTGAAAAAGACCATATATTTCAGAGAGTGGTCTAATTGTAAGACCAGACTTTTTTTTTTAGATTTTATGTGTTTGTCGTAAGTACTTATGATAGCTACCTACAAAATTTTGACTATATCTCTCGATTTTTCTTATTTCTGTATTGATAAGAATCTCATTCTGTTGTAAAGTTTGTTGAAAAAAGAACAAAATAAGATAAATAGTCTATGTTACACAAATAAACAATTCAAAGCTTTTGTCATCATTCAAAATACACAAATGAATACCTGCAATATATATATATATATATATGTGTGCAGTTATACATATCAAATCAGGAGGTAGGAATCCTATCACAGCAGGAACTAAAAACCATAACCACACTAGATTGTTTTCTAGTTGCTGATTGCTAATATAGCGAAGCAGATGCTATTTAGATGCATTTTCTATGTAAATTATATCATTCTATAACAATGGAAATACAAACCTACAACATCCGGCAACAGTTAACTAGGTTGTTAATAAAGCACACTGTGTAATCAACCCACTCACTACCTTTAGTTTTTTAGAAGAAAATCAAACCTATCAAATGATGTTTCATTCCCTTGAGACACCTCTGAATCATGTTGTTCTCTCAAACCACCACCTATCTGCATATGCAGGCATCCAGGATGTGATCCCTGAGCATACCCTGTTGCTGCTTGTGATCCAAATACCATTCCAGTACCACCAACCTGAAACAATTTATTAACTGATCAAGATCATGATATTATGGGAACAAACAGTTCCACAATAACTAATTCTTTACCAAAAAATGTTTTAGGCCTAACTAATTTGGTATAGATACAAATAGAGACACAAGAAAATATAGTTCTGACTGACAATATTCATCTTTGAGATAAACACTGCCAATCATTTTCATTGAGAATTGGTTTGGGCTAGTGCTTGTCTAATTTGGTTATATGGTGGATTCAGGTGACTACACCTCTTAAGAAGTTGAAATCAAGCCACAGGCCGTTCTACCAAAACTATGTGAGATCAAACATCTATAGTTTCCACTAGCTTTTATGCATGATCATGACTGGTACACTAATAACTACAATTATGATTTATGAAATCACAATGAAAAGTAGAATTGCACTCTAAATCTGGTGAAAATTAAGGTCACATTCCCTAAAGATGTTCAAGTCGAGTTTATAATAGAGCTAAATTTGGAGTTTGCTAGAGTGAATTACTGAGGATTTAGCCTAATGTAGCTTGATACAGATCTTGCCATATACATTATATTTGTGAGTCCCGAAATCCCAATTGCACTTTTGCACTTTTGCACATTCCAATGCATTTCTACACAAATGAAGAACAATTATCAACAGTATTGGAGCCAAAATTCTCAAACGCTTCAAGACGATGTAGGTGAAAGCTTCAACCTTTTATCATCTCCATGAAGGTTGAACTTCAAAATGTTGTTCCATCTAAACTGGATGTTAAATGGGAGACAAGATCAGGGTAATTATATGCTGATTCAATCCTTCCTTTCTGCTGATTGGCCTTCAGTTATTGAGGAAGATGTCATATGATGATACTACAGCCATTAGATTGATTGATAACAAAGCTGTTTTTATCCCAATTATGGATAACTATGCACCGACATTATCATCGGTTTTCCGATTCTGATCTATTCGTTTCCCAGATCAAAAACTGGTTCTGCATTCTTCCATCAATTCCTTTCTTTTCTTTTCTCCCTCTCTGTTTCTTCCATACCAACTTGACTTCAATTAAGCTTTGCCAACTGATCGGTGAGAACAATGTCACAAACGGATCCATAAACTTACAAGTTAGAAATCACTTTATCCTATTAGTTTTTGACTTTTCAAATAAAAGTAGTCAAGAAGAATAATTTGAGACAATTTCCCAGACAAAGCATCAGGATAAATTTCTTCGGCAGGATTCCAAAAGCTTCTAAGCAGCCAACACATACAATTTTGCACGATGTTTAAATCTTATGCAAGTGGAAATTAATTGAATATTTGAAGTCAGTATGATCAACATCAAAGTTGATAGACTCACATCTTTTAAAGGAAACCCATCTGTGTTAGGGCTCATGTTCATCCTTGAATTAACTGCTTCAAGCTTCATAGAAAGGAACTACAAAACTCAATTTGTTTGGCATACAGAATTAGATTGGAAGTTAAGAAGAAAACATCATCTAGTGAAAATACTAAAAGGTGATGGAAAGATGAAGAAACCCACCTCAACCTGACGCTGCAGCGACTGTATGTAATTGATTATCTCATCTAGGACTAGTGCTTTACCAATTACCTGAACATTAAAACAAACAAACGATGAAGGAAATATAGAAGCATTAATCTTGTGATATTCCAACAGAATATTATGAGTACCTTGTTACACCCTGGAACCAAATCCTGAAGAATTCTCATTCTCTCACTGATCTTTTCTCTTCTTGCCTGGAAAACAGGTGGTGTTTAGTGGCATGCCTATGAAAAATAGCAAATATAAACACAAGAAAGAAAAAGAGAATGTCTAAAAGTTCACACATTCCATTTGTTTCTACATCAAGGAAAAATGCCCAATAGCAGGCAAAACTTGTAAGAGACAAGAAGTTAAAAAACAGAAGAGTTACTCTTTCTGCTAGACTGTGGTTATCGGTAGCTTGGCCCCTTCTTGCTCTCACGTGAATATAGTCTTGCTTAGGTGCCTCACAAGGTACAGTGCTTTGTTCACTTGACTTGTTACCACTCACAGAACTTGTTTCTGCTTCATCTTTGAAACCATCATTTTTAACACTGCACCCTTCCACCTTCATCCGTTTATTGCTACCAGAGTCATTCTGTTCAAATTCCCACGCAATGGATCAATCAGAACCCAGCTCCTCACTTGGAAAGAAAATAGAAAAATAGAGAAAAAGAGAAAGTAACTCCAATAACAAAATGGAAAATAGACAGAAAAATCAAATTTTAAAAGTAAAGCTTCAAACTTTTCTTTCCTTCAAATTTTCTTAGTATGAAATTTCAAAATTTCCAACCTCCGTTTTCTTTCCTCCAAAGCAAACAGTAAAACACCGCAACAATTCAAATTCACCAAAAAAGTAAACCCTACAGTTTACAACACCCTCACTCAAACAGTTCATACAACTTGAATTCCGACTCTTTCACAGAAACACAACATAACTTAGATGCAGTTTGCGAAATTCCAAACATTTGGGAATTGCAAAAAACCTGAAAGCATTGAACTTTAATTGAGGAAGTAAAGTGTTGTAGAAAAAGTATTGAAGTGTAATTGAAGCATAGAGTGAAGACATGAAAAGTGAAGGACCTCGGAGAAATGGTGGTCGGAAGGGGGAAAAGGGGAGGTTCCGAGCCAAATATCGGCGAGGGTGTAAGCAGAGGAGAATGTGGAGTCAGTGATGAGAGGAGGATCCATTGGGAGGTGAGAGCATGAGACTGTAATGAAGTATGTTAATGGATGAGTGTGACACTGAGAGAGAACAGCAACTCCATCATATTCTACTCTTATACTCCATTTTTTTACTCATACCTTCTTTTCCACCTTTTTTTATTCTCACATCAAAATTACCACCACCATTTTACTTCCTCCTTCAATCTGGGTTGCTTCAAAATTATTGTTATATCACATCATCACTCTTCTAATCAAACTTTTTTTTTAACTCCACACTGAATTAAAGATACCATCAACAAATTATAATATATAACTCATTGCAAATCTCAATATTCATTTTATAAAAGGTTAATACCTCTTTTTAGTTTTAGTATTTTCTTTCAATATTTATTACAAGAAGTTAAAATGGATTTTTTTGTTAGATTATTATTGTAATATTCCAAAATACAACATAAAACTATATATAGAATATTCGCAACTAATAATATTACAGTTCAGTTCTGAGAAGCAAAGGTACAGATATGGTTGAACGGCCTTACGAAAATATTGCAGAATTCAAACTTTACAAAACTACAGTCTAGACGGAACGGTTTCAAAACTAAGATTACACCGAACAGTTTTACAAAATAAAACCCAACCTAACGACCGAACGGTTCTAAGGTTTCGCTTTCACTTCCACTTCTTCCAAAGCTTCTTCCAGCAGCTCTTCTCCTTCTGCTCACATTCACAGGATGATCATTGCAACAAGAAAAAACAACCGAACGGACAATACAGACAAGACAGAAAAATAGGGTAAACTTATGTAATTTAATTAATTCAGATAAACCTATACTTCACATAAATCTAACATAATTCAATATACAATCATGTAACATCCAATCATGCACTTCCAATCAAAATTTCAAGTCAAAGCATGCAATGACCGACCACTTTACTCTGACTGTCTGGACTGTATGAATTCTGTGTAGTTACAACGTTTTTGCACCCGGGTGATGTAATAGCTGGGATGCCCTCAACAGTTGTCACTCGAGGTTAGTCCGTTCCGTCCAAGTTCACCTTATGGACTAGGACCTCCTGTCATTCTCACACATGACTTACTCCTCTCTACTTGAGAATGAGTAATCACAGAATATTAGGATAACCGCCAACTAAGCATAACCACATTCATACTCTACCATTCAATAACCACTCATGAGATATTCCTCCCTAGAATACTCTTTCATTTCCATTCTATTCCATTCATATTCAATAATACAATCATACCGAACCAATACAAACAGATACCATCTGAAATCAAAACTGAACAATAACATTCCCCCAGAGACAAGACCGAGAACGTTTTGAATACATTCTAGACTAACACAACTGGACACCTAATGTAAGACCGAGCGATCTTCCACTTATACATAGAATAAGACCGAACGGTCCATTCTAGATAAGACTCATCATAAATCGAACACTAGCGATAGTATTTGAACGTTTATTTGCTACTCAACAGTTACTACAGAACAATATTTTACTAGACCGAACTCCTAAGAATGTACCGAATACTAAATATTACATATAATTTAGACTTAACCAAAAATCATAATAACTATTGCTGGAACCTAGGAACTTAAACCGAACCCTACAATATTTAATCAAATACTATTGACTTGGACCGAACACTCTTAGTTCAAATAGAGTACACAATGGGGTATAATAAAATACCAAGCGCTTGGTTAAAGACCACCACTATAAAGACCGAGCGTTTGGTTCAAAACCAAGCACTACTGAGACCGAACACTTGGTTAACGACCGAACACTACTGAACTTAAATCAAAATGAAGGAATATATATATATATATATATATATATATATATATATATTTATATACACAATTACACAACACTTATTTTCAATGAAGGATAAAGGTAACCTCTACGACTGTAAGTACTATAGAATACATTAACTAAACTGTTTAGGAAGCTTAAAGAGGAAACAATACTTAGACCGAACGCTTACTTACTAGTATACTAAGAGAAAACCGATCGGTCCTTAACTGAAATACTCCATATAAGAAAAATCCAATACAGACTGAATACTCAAAGAAAAACCGAACGGTCAATGATGACTTTCGGTGACAACCACAGGAATATACAGAATTTTACATACTTAAGAGAAAACCCTATATCAGCCCGTTCACATCATTTGTAACTCATATATACAAAACATGCACTGGAAACAACACTCCATATTCATCCATGGATCAAACAAACATACAACCATTTAGAACAAGAAATCATAATCAAATTATATAAGCTTCTCTTACCTCTAAAAGTAGTTGAACGTTCACAGATGCAGGATATAGTTCACCACTACCAGTCTTATACACTCAGAGCTCACCGATTTAAAAACTAAACCAAATACTAGACCATAATTGCTATCAGAATGAGATAATACACTCATGCAACCAGAATTTTGGTTTACATGTGACAGGAAAACGAACGGTCTAAGAAGAGAAGTACTCACCAGCTTATACCACAACTTGATCGGTGCAAAGTGTTGTTCTTAGCACTAGGAATACTCAGGCGTTGCCTGAGTGATGATCGGAAGAAGAAAAGGATGAGAAATCGTGGAGAGAAGATGGATATTGTAGAGAGAAGGAAGAGAAAAATGGAGGTTCATAAGGTTGAAGATGAAGGGTGTATGCAGAAAAGTAGCACGAAGTTTGAAATTTATCCTTAAATACTACCGTGACTAAAATCGATAGGCCACTCAACGCTGCACACTTGTCTTCCACTATCTAAAAATCTGAACTCTTTCATTGACACCTGACTTCCACTTACGATTTTTAATGGTTCGGACAAGTATTAAAATTATCAAAGGTAGATAACTTAATATAGAACGATATATTTTTATTTATGCAATAAAAAAAATTATATCATTGAATCAAATCATAATCTTTAATAACATTAATATTAATATTTCAGAAGGAACTATATTAAAGAGTTAATATATATTACAATCATTAAATTAAAAAAATTAAAAAAAAAACATTGAACAATTGTGATCTGAAATTATTTTTATTCTTATACTAAAAGGTTTATGATTTGTCCTTACTCATTTAAATAAGTTAAGTTTTTTTATTAATTACTTAATTTTTTTTTATTTTTTAATTAAGTTATTGTTATTTAATTTTTAAGTAAGATAAGTATTATTTTATTTAGTCATCTTAATAATTACTTGACTTCTTATATTAAAAATATATAAAATTCTATAATTAATATAAAATGATTTTACTATTAATATTAACTTAGTTTATCACTTTGTTTTATATAATCTTTGTTAGCAGAGAGTTTACGAAAAAAAATGATAATAATTAAAATTTAATATAGTTACAGTAAAAGTAAAATAATAGTATGTTGTATATTATAATTAAAACATCACTTCTATATTTATATTTTTTAAATGTTAAGATATTAAAACACTTATTCTAAAGGGTGTTCTCATATATCTCATACATGTGAATCTTTTGACGACCTTTCCTTCTTTACCCACATAAATATATCATGCTTCCTTCACTCTAAAATCAACTTATTTTACTATAATAATATATAAAATTGATATTTCAATCACTTTGAATTAACCATTATTCAATCCTTGAAATTATAATAATTTATGAAATTGATATTTAAAACAAGAAATAAAGTATTGTGATGAGCAACATTTTTCTTCCTTTTATAGCTTGTGGAAAGAAAGAAAACAGCAGGTATAAGTTTTCTACCTAGATTCTTATGCTTAACTAAACTAATGGATTATGTTAAATAGTTTGAAAATTGTCGTTTATATATATTTTTGTTGCATTATTTCAGTTTTTTTCTCAATTGTATAACATTAAGAACAAATCACTTAATCTATACACATGTATATTATGTATAGAGAGGTAATAATATAAAGTTTTAATCTAAAAATATAATATATTTCATAATAGAATCTTAATCTTACAAAACAAACAAAAAAAATACTAGATGAGATTTTATCTTTTATCAATTTGTCATAAACACATTAAATTCATATCACATTTCTTATTTAGAAATTTAATCCTTTTCACCATGTTTATAATATTTTTATTTTTTTAGTGTGAACAATTTTGTAGAGGAATCATAACTATTTTTTAATGTTTCATTATATCATTCGTTTTATAAAAATTGCTTAATCTTTCTAAACAAAATTCAAGAGACCATTATAAATTTTAAATTCAATTACAATCTTATTGATTCTTCGTTGAGTAATTCTAACTTTTGAAATTTTATAAAACTTTTTTCTTAGTGTTATGTAAAAATAAGTCCATAACTTCTTAGACTAAATCTACAATTGACAAGAAGTATTTAATTTCTAAAATGTGATGGAGTTCTAAATGATCCTCATAAATCATTATGAACATAGTTAAAACTGTTCTTTGTTGTCCCCATTACAACATACTCTTAAAGTTTCACCTTGGACATATTGTTCACAAAACCTCACTAGACAACTTTGTCACTACCAAACAAGTCATGCTTCTTCAACTCGACTAACTCTTTCTTTTTTATATAACCTAACCTTCTATGTCATTTCAATCTTATACAAAATAATCTTATTAACAATAGACATTGATCCATATACAACAACACCTTACAAGACATACATGTCATTCTTCCTTAAACCCTTATCACTATCATGGATTCCCTCCTCACCTTCAACATTCTCCACTTGCTTTTAGATACACATCACTTCCTTTCAAGCTCGCTAAGGAATATGATATGGGTTTCAGGTTTGGTAAAGACCTAACTTCGTCAAGTACTCTCTTAGTTTCATTCAAATACTCTCCTAGTTCATTTTGTGAATAATCTCGTATTAATTAAGAAACATATTTTCCCTTTCATTTTAAAAGGTTAAATATGTTTTTAATCTCTTAATTTTCATATGAAATTGGATTTTGTCTTTGTCTCAAACTTTGAATCATTTTCATCCCAAAATTTTATTAATGAATGGATGTAGTCCTTGTGATAAAAAACATTAAAGATTTGTTGTTGTGACAAACAACATCGTTATGTGTATGTTCATGTGCCGAGATGAACACTCATGTATCAACACATGGACACATGTCACAATGTCG